GGAGGGAGTGTAAATATGCAGGGAGTCTCCCCCCGTTATACCTCTGTGAGTATTTCTCTTGTGGGATACAGTGGTTCGGATCCAGTAGATCCATTATAGGAGGTGAGGTAGAGAGATCCAGTCTAAATATGTATACCTTGCACGATCAGGCAGCCCTCTACAACGAAATCGGTAGCTGGTCGTCAGATCTAACTGAATGCACGAGGGACGCCCCTCTATGCCTTTATCGTTGTCCTGTATAGGTACAAGCCTGTATGTGATGAACAAATGAACGGCACAATAGTGAGTTGAGTGTATGAGAGAGCCACACTCCCTAATAATGTGACCGAACTCCGTGTCAGCGTCTGGCTGATAGCCTAAGCGGGCCGCACCCGTTAATAACATTAGAGTCTACAGCCGTGTCTGGTTCACTCTACGAGAATGTGTCACTCAAAACATGTCCTCTGTTTGTTGGAGATAAAATCAGCCTGGGCCCTTTGTGGATGATGGATATTTGCCAACTCATACAGAGCTCTGGAAATTGGAAATGAATAGCAGAGACGTGTTCAATAACCAATTCAAATTGTATTCATACGTCAAGTTATATTTATAACCCATTTTCATAGCAGGATGGGAGGGGGAAAAATGACCATATGGGCGTGACAATGACATTGTTTTTCACAAGTTATAAACAGCTGTTTTTAGTTATAATTCGATGTTACATAATGTATGCATATTGGATAAAACCCAGATGATTACAAATACAGAAATCTTGGACAATTAACAAGGTCATTCCAGAATCCTTATCATGTCATGTCATGTCATGTCATGTCATGTCATGCAAATATCTTTTTTCCAGGAACATAACAAAATCATGTTTCAATAACATTTCTGAGAATTGGAGATACAATTCCAAATTTATTCTTGATTCAAATTAACCCTTACATGAACAGTTAGGATATAGAGCAAAATGGATATTCGCATCTACAATTCCCCTCTTAGATCATATCATGATCTACCTTATGGAATATCCATGGGAGGCCTGCGGCAGAGAAACGAAAGGAGGTATATTCAGACATGCTAATCACGTCTGCGGGACTTTCCTTATTTCTTCACCTCGATTTCCCCCATTTGCTCTATGCCGTAGGTTTTCCCTTTAAGAGGAGATCGAGCTGTCGATTTTCAGCTTCTGTAATCATCTGTTGTACACATCTTTTAAGTGTACAAGTTAAATATTTCAAACAGCTGACATCTTAACCAATTTTAAACATACTGCACATCATGTTATCTGTAACTTGAGCCTTGGATCAAAACAGGCAAAGTGTATTATTCCTAACAACGGGAATATTATTATTATTATTATAATTCACAACGTAAACACATATAATCAAAAATGGGAATAAAATCTATTTCCCCTCTTTGGACCAGGGTCTTGGATTACCAGTCCACCCAGTGAACTTGGGCCAGGTCAAAAATCCCAGTGGCAAAAACTCATAATTGAGAAAAAAAGCACATCTGGGTAAATTCTAAGTGAGGGCCATGACTGTGTAAACATGTCATCCCCTCACGTTGACAGCATTAGTGACTTATAAAACCTGCACTATGTAAGTAAATAGCTCAGGTATCGGGATTGGGAAACACTTCTTGATTAGTTTGAAAAGGCCACTTACATATTAAATCATAAGATCATTTCTAATCAGTTTGCAATTCTAGCAATAATCCCAATCATGACCTTGCGTCCTATGCCTCCTAATCAAATCCCTATTTCGATAGTCCAGTCATATCCACACTTAATACATTGGAATCCATCCTTGGTACACTCAACATACATCAATGACACACATAGTACATCCATGCCTGAGTAAGCTAACACTTCCTCTCTCTCCGGCTAACTCTACAAAAATAAAAATAACAAAATAGTTCAATAGTCCAGCATAGTCCAGAAAAATATTATAAGTCTTTCAAGGAGTATAAAGAATCTTAGACACCATAAACTTTGTTCCACAATCTTAGACACCATAACATAGCTAAGGGTAGCAATATGGCTGACAACAAGACAATGTCAGCTTCCACATAGTTCTTAATTCTTCTGTTTGCTGGATGTTCACCACAATACTCTGTGCAACACCCCAATTGTTGAAAGGGTAATACAGAAATAGCGGCATTAGACAGCACTGCATCTTCAGGACTTTCCAAGTTAGTTTATGTCCTCATAAGTAAGCATCTCAGTTTCTTCGGCCAGCATGGATTTTGACCAAACAGATTTAATTGCAAAAAAGGTAAGTAGGCAGGTAGGTCAGCCAGAGAGATTGGTGTGTAGTCCCAAATATCAGGCAGCACAAATACTCCAGTACGGTCTCTATAATCATACAAACAGAAGGATCAGTACGACATCAATAAATTAATTATCTAGGCTAAACTCAAATTAGAGACTAAAGTTAAACTCTTAACTAGTGTAACATGTACGTCTCTCAGTTTTGTTTATGTCCTTTATAAAATTTTAATACATAATTTCCCTTTAAAATGCCTTGTATGGATGAGAGAAGCACTCATTCTATATAAATGCTTGTTGAGTACTAAAACACTAACATATACATATTGGTATAATTCCCAATAAAATGCTGTTCTTAAACTTAAACCTTGATTTGATAATCTCAATTAATTACTTTAATAAAATTTTGTGGACCCTGATAACATCTTTGGAAACCCAAACCTTTTATAGATCCCGATGTGTGTGATCATGTTTTAATACATGTTGGAACCTCCATACAGTTATCCCACTTAAACAATATATTTTTTTCAGAACAACTAGGAATGAAATAGGAGAAACAAAATAAATTACTATTGTTCTAAAGTGCTTTGTTTAATACAAGTTTAGGAAGAGTTGTCTTGCTGTGTTGCAAGTGGCCTCTGATAAGGAAGGGACAGCAAACTGTAGACATATGTTATATTAAGTTGCTCTCACTTGTCAGGTCTTGGAAACCCACTTAATTTATTGCAGATGCCTCTATTATACCACTTTACAAATTGACTAAGCATACTTATTATCCTATTTTATTTTAGTTATTTCACATTGCACAGCCTATGCAAACAATGTCTAACTTCAATGCCCAACTTCAACTTGTACATCCTCTAAGAGCCAGCATTAATACTGTTTTATCTATCAAAACTATATATAAAGTATTAAAAACATGAACCATCTGTGTATTAGGCTGAGGTTGTTGGGTGTGGGTATAGCTTGAAAGTTGTGGTTGGTATTGAGGAACCTGCCAGGGTGGGAGTCCTTGAATGCCAGCTGGGCCAGGAGAACACAAGCACCTTGGGGTGAATCCCTGCTACCCACAATTAAAACAGTGCTGAAGTTACCATCTCTACAAAAGTTAAATCCTTTGATCAAATTCTCTACCTCTGCCTCTAAAACTTTTCTGATTCAATCTATCACCTCCAAACTTTCTTTGTCTCGCCTGCTTAAGATCACAATCCTTTTGTGACCGATACAACATACTTTTCCCTCTTTCTTTATATCCAAAACAACCTGCTGTATCTTTCTCATGAATCTTCCCAAGAAATTCAGTTCAAAGAGGGCCAGTCACAGACCAACAGTTTGACCAAAAGTGAACAAGGAGGAAGCATATTCCATATGAAGGTCGAGATGACCTAACTCACACCCCCTCTTTGTGTACACCTATTTGTGTACCACACAGATATAATATTAATAAGCTTTTGAAGATTTATTGTGTTTGTATAGCACGGTTGTCTAGGGGTGTATACATAAACAGTGAAAGCAGAGTCTTCATATGGGGTTTGCAATACTGACAGTCTGGGTCATAGGTGTAATACAGACATGCGGTTAGGAACTTTTCCATTGTCAGAAGACTAATATATTGCAAATATTAAAATCATATTGCATAATGCTTTCAATATACCAATACAAATATAATACAGTAGTTTAGAATTGCCTCAAAAGAAATTATCTGATCTCTATTAAAAATACCATTTCATCATTTTCCTATAATCAATGAGGCATACTAAATGAATCTTAATCTTGGAAAAAACCTATCCTATACATCCATAATTTTTCTTGTTATATAACCATATAACATAACACATTTTTCTTTTCTTAAATAATGCAATGCACTTTAAAAGTAGCGTTAACTCTAAATACTCCCCTAATAATACTGAAACGTGGATCCACGATTTTGAAAAGCAAATGATATATTTTTCTTTTTCTTTCCCAGGGACCCCTTTCTTGTTGGCTGATCAGCGTTTTTTTAATCTGTTGTAAAAAGACACTAAAGGCTTGCGTTAATGACATGCAAATATTCTTTAAATATTCTTCATACTCATTGTAATATCACACATCATCTTATAGCACAGAAAACATGTAGCAGATATCCAGCAGACATGCCAATACAAAAAGCATATTCATGGACAGGCAATTAACTCAATCCAAAATAAATTAATAAATGTCACACTATGTGACAGACATAATTTGGTTCTCATGTTTGTGCAATATGCATGTCTGCAAACAATGCAAGCAGTACTACTTTAAGGTTAGATCAGAGCACCTGGCAACTGGACAGGAAAGTCAAATTTTGGCAGGAAGTCCATTATTGCAACAGAATTTTGGAAATCAGCTAAAATTTACAAAAACAGACTCCCTCCTTTTTTTCTTTCTTAAGACTACAACTCATATTGCTCTTGGACAAGTATTCAATAATAAATCAGTTATTTAATAGATTATTACGCTGCCATTTTCATCTGTATCAATACTAAGACAAACTTATTCAAATATAATTTAAAATAACACAGCAAAATACCCATTAACATACATGACAATTAAACTGCATACTTTAAAATGAGTAACCAAAACAAACATTTATGACAATCATCATTCACACAGAATAAACTTCTAACAGCTGTATTCAGAACATATTATTGTAAGGTATACCAATTTTAGTTTGTATTGGATTTATTTAAGATTTCTGGTACCAAAGGGTTTATTTTTTTATTTTTTACAGAAGGGATCCCGTACGGCCATATAACGCGTTTGACTTAAACATTTGTATAACACTTGCATTAACCAGTTGCAACATATGAAACCTGTCAATGGAATTTCTCTCTTATACGCTTATAGAACATTTGGACCAGATTACACAGACATGGTATCACCTGCATTTGTCAGAACTCTCAAAGACTCAAAATATTTATACTACTCCATGTTAAAGGCATGGCAAAATTTTGACCGGTCAATTTGAGTTTCCAAAAGTCATATCAACACAGGTTAAAACCTTTGTCCATGGTTTTCTGATCCTACATTCCATGACCAAAATTTCAAACCCACTTCTTCACAGTTTGGGTCGCAAGCAATAAAATCTCAGCAACCCCATACAATAATTTACAGAATACATACAATTTAAAGCACATACAACATGTGACATACTGGAATACTACAAGTTAGCTTACAGCACAATATGAAGCATGTGTTGGAACGCTGAAAATATAAATTTTGCTCTCTAATTCATAATCATCTAAATTTACAACATAAGTTCTCTGCAACAAACACTCAGGGCAGAAAGAATGTGGTGTTTGACGTTTTGAATGAAGTGACTTTTTGTCCCAATATGAAAATAAAGGGCTCATCATATAAACAATCATACATCCCACTCTCATAAAAAAGTGTAGTGGGCTTATAGTACTTTTGACCAAGTATAAAAATAAGGGGCTCATTATGCAAACAAACATACATGCAGAGAAATCATGTTAGTTCTAGAATTTTTAGCCCCCCCTTAAATAACCTCTAGTTTTTTCTTATTCATCATTACCTTTACATGTACTTTTTACATTCCCTCAATTAAGACTTTATGCTTAAAATCAGCGTTGCACATCATAAAATAGCACATAAATTAGCAAGCCGGAGTAATGCCAAACATCCATCATACCTTTTAACCCCCTTTTTTTTTTTTAAACCATTTTAGTCTGCCAAATTTACATCTACGTTAAATAAATACCACAGTCCACCAAAGACTGGAAATCTGTTTTACAACCTACCAAAGGCAACCTCTACCAAAGAGGGATCTAGGGACGTCTCCCATATGTAAATGTACATCACAGGACATCACAGCCTACCAAAGGCTTGAAATTATTTTTAACACCTGGCCAAAGGTGAACCTCTTACCAAAGAGGAAATGTGCACAATAACTACTACTACCTACCAAAGGCAATCCTCCAACCCGTGGAGTAATAGAAGTCTACCTAAGACTTAACAAAATACCATGTCTACCAAAGACATTATCCTGTGAAAATCCCCTTTAAAAATGTAAATAGTGAAAAACCCCATTAAAACAAGAAATGCAATGTGTGGGAGGATGGCAGAAGCAGGCAAAGGTCCCCAACCCCTTAAGGACACACGACAGAAATACTCCGTCATGATACCCTTAAATTCCAGAAGTTGTGTCCCCAAGGGGCTAAAGACCCTCTTACCTGCTACTCCGTTCCCAATTGCTCCCAAAAAACTTCTGACACCAGTTTGTTGGAGATAAAATCAGCCTGGGCCCTTTGTGGATGATGGATATTTGCCAACTCATACAGAGCTCTGGAAATTGGAAATGAATAGCAGAGACATGTTCAATAACCAATTCAAATTGTATTCATACGTCAAGTTATATTTATAACCCATTTTCATAGCAGGATGGGAGGGGGAAAAATGACCATATGGGCGTGACAATGACATTGTTTTTCACAAGTTATAAACAGCTGTTTTTAGTTATAATTCGATGTTACATAATGTATGCATATTGGATAAAACCCAGATGATTACAAATACAGAAATCTTGGACAATTAACAAGGTCATTCCAGAATCCATTATCATGTCATGTCATGTCATGTCATGTCATGTCATGCAAATATCTTTTTTCCAGGAACATAACAAAATCATGTTTCAATAACATTTCTGAGAATTGGAGATACAATTCCAAATTTATTCTTGATTCAAATTAACCCTTACATGAACAGTTAGGATATAGAGCAAAATGGATATTCGCATCTACAGTATCCAGCTCAGTATTGGACTGAGGTTGAGGAAGGGCCGTGCCCTCTAATAACCAATCAGTGTTCGGTTCCGTATATGAGAGGGGTTCGCTCTCTGCTCGTGAAAATAAAAAATATCAGTCTCGGATCGAGGTGATGAAGGGCCGCACCAAACTAGAGTCCCTTAGAGACTCAGAGTGACCGACTGCAGGGGTACACCATTTACTAATATCAGCATAAGACTGAGATCCTGAGGTGCGCCTCTATCTGACTACAATACCTCTCTCTGAATCGCACCTTAGGTGGAATCAACTGGCAATAAACCAGACCAATGGGAGATGGAATAGAATACAACCTCTGGCCGTGTCCATCCTTAATAACAGAAAGCGATGTTGAGAAAATGAAACCTTCGGAAAACAATGATGGAAACTACCAACAGACCTCCCGGATCCCGTGCGAGCGCGTGGGATCCAGGATGACCGTCGGCAGTCTGAGGAAAGTTGGAGACGTTCTCCGTGATCCACGAGAGCCCGGGAGGTCGGAGTAGGTCAAATCAGGCCTCTCGACGACCTGATCGATAGTACAATTGGAAGACTCGAGAACCAAGAAACGACAAATAATGTAGATACCGGTAAATACGTACCTCGGAGAGAAGGTAAATAGTAGAATGGCAAAGTAAGTCAAGTAAACCCAACTAAAAGGGTTTAGGAGCTAAACCTGACAAAGGACTAACTACCAATGCCTAAGATGGATACCGGGAAGGCAGTTAAATGGTTAGTTGCTGAAGGCAAGGTAACCGTGCTCCCCTGTTGGCGTCTGAGCACTGGTCCCTGCTTGTGTGAAAATCTCTTGTAGATGTGCCCACGCCGCATTGGTGTAAACTGCGGTTATGTGCCCGGGAATCTTCATAAGACCCTTGCTCCTCAGGGCATGAGGTGTAGTGCCTTCACCCATCCAATCATATTTAGGTGTCCATATCCTGGTGTCCTCTTGGATTGTATGGCAGTAGTGCTTGTCTGGACACCCACCTATCTCCATGTCAATAGTGGGTGCTGAGCTTTCCTCTGTGATATTCCCCCAGGCCTGCGGCCAAAAAGGGGTTCGGGCACAGAGATCCGGCCAATCAATGGGGCACAGACCTAGCAGGCCAATCACTGGGGCACAGACGTAGGAGGCCAATCCTGGGTTGCGTATTAAATGAGTAATGGGTGCCCCTGAGTTTGGGCAGAATTTCCTAAATATCTGTAAATCCTCAGGGTATCCTGTGACATAGGACCACTAGACATCACCCTTTTGAGACAGCGTAATACAGTGTGAATAACCTGAACCGGGACTGGCAGTCCCTAAATGCCCAGCAGGCAAACTAGTGGTATTCCAGCTTTATTGGGTATAAGCTAAAGTTGTTCCAGTGATTATAGTGTCCATAAAATCCAGATATACTGAGCGATACCTTCCTTAAACTGTGAATTGGTATGCCCATGCACATACAGAACTGTTGAGATTACGTATCTTTATATAGATCATCATACCACCTGAAGGGTATTGTACTGATGGTCTCTTTCGGGAGTAGGGCTAAACCTTTGCCAACTCAATGAATCTCCACCTAGAGCCTGATAAAATTGAATAATATCAGCATAGACTGGTCTCCCATACCAGTTTGAGCCAGAGCCAGGACTGACATGGACACGGGATTCATACCAGAGTAGTCTCATCTGAGACTCCATAGCTGGACCGAGAATATATATACTGTGAAGCACATCAATCCTAAAGCAAACTAGCAAATTGGCTCTGTATACCCCTATCCAGAGCCTGTACAACTGAGTTTCATATATATATGTAACTCACAGTAATCTGTGATCTACATTGTCAGAGAAACTCACAGAATCTGTGATATAAACACCATCATTAAAACTCCAAGTAATCTGTGATTTATACACTTTCATTAAGACTCACAGAAATCTGTGATGTATACTGCTATAAAACTCACAGGAAACTGTGAAATAAACACTGACATAGAACACAGAATCTGTGATACAAACTCTCATAAAAGCTCAGTCTGCTGACATATACATGGTCATAGAAACTCAGAATCCGTTATATGAACTGTCCTAAAACTCACAGCAAGCTGTGAGATATACACTGTTATAGAATTACAGTAAACTGTGATAAGTTGTATATCTTTGGTAAAACAACTGAAAACCTGTCGAGGTCGGCCGGTGAAATCCAGCAGGGCAACAATAGCCGAGATCCGACCACCTTGGATGGAGGAGGGGCCGCGAGGGGCCTCCTCTAGCCAGTCGGATGCCTGCGGCTCTTAGAAGGAGCCGGTCGCGGCGAGGCGGCCACGTGCATGAGTGGAACTGGCCGCTGGGTACTCGCGTCCAACCGCGAGTACCCGGTAAGCTCACAAAGGAGCTCGGGGAATCCGAGGGGGCAGCCAGACGGCTAGCCTCCTGAAATCCCGAGCTAAACACATGTAGCCCGTGGTTAGCAATGGCGGGACAAAAGCAGAAGGGTGATGGGGTTGCAGGGGGGAGGGTAAAACCAAGGGAGAGCAACTGGATAGGTATCTCCAGATACCCCCATAAACCACCACAATGTAGAAGAAAATATCCCCAAAGAAAAACAGGGGAAGCAAAGAAGAGCCAAAAAAGATCATTAATCCCACAAAACTAAGCATAATTAATATAAATTATAATGAAAACATAGTAAATCCCCAAAACTAAGCACAATTAATATAAATCATAATGAAAACAAAGTAAATCACCAAAACTAAGCATAATTAATATAAATCATAATGAAAACATAGTAAATCACCAAAACTAAGCATAATTAATATAATCATAAACAAATCATAATTAACCCCAAAGCCACCAATTAGAAGCAGGAGGCAGTGGTACTCTGACCTGTACTGACTGCGGAGCAGCAAAGAAAGAGGAAATGATGCAATGGGGAGGGGAGGTTTTTTTTTCTGATTGGTTGTTTTTCTGTGCTGCTGTGGAGTTCTAGTAAAGAGAGACTTAAGCAAATACGAAGCCTCCTGTCATGTTATAAAATTCTTAACAAAATTTTACCCAACATCCTAATAGTTTTTAGAGGAGCCCCTAATTTTAAATCAATTTTAACAAAGAATTTTACTAGAGAAACTAAAAAGAAACCATCTTTATCCTTGTTCCCCCAAATTAAGGGTTTTTGTAAATGTAAATCATGTATAGTCTGCAAAATCACTGACCCTACAATACCATCTAAAATAACTACATTTACTTCTAATGTGACAAATACGGTTTATAAAGTTAGTGACTTTATTAATTGCAGTACGAGAAATGTTATTTATCTGCTTGAATGCCCCTGTGGCCTCCAGTATGTTGGAATGACCACAAGGTACTTAAAAACAAGATTAAGTGAATATTGCAGAAACATTAAAAATGGGTATCTGAATCATTCACTATCCAAACATAGTATTCAACACAATAAAGATCCTAGAATGTTAAAATGTATGGGAATAAAAAAAAAAGTACTACTTCTTGGAGAGGAGGCAATATAAAAAACGTTCTTGGGAGAACTGAAATGGAATGGGTGTATAAGCTTCAGACCCTTATACCCCATGGTTTAAATGCTGACTTTGATTTATTTAA